ATCTGTGCTTTGAAGAATACTTTTTTCCCCCTGTGGAAATCCTCTCCTATGATGTGGCAGCTCAGCTGATTTTTCTATCCATATTCTTGGTATGCTTCAGCTCATAGTTGGAGCTCATTTATTTGCTTGTTTATTTAATCAAATGACATTGTACTTAATATACATGAACCTGGTTGCTCCATTTCCACATGAAAATACAGTGTCAAGTGGATGAACGTACCACAGTATCTGTTCTATATTGAGAGCCACCTAGAGTACAGAAGGTCAACTTATCAGAACTAAGGGTTCTGTTAGAGGAAACATCACACAAGGCACTATGGAGTTACTGCCTTTTGAATGAACTGGCTGTCTCTTGTAAACTTCTTGTGCAATAACAGCTATGATTCTCCCCATTAACCGTGCATTTCCATGTTATGTGTCCATGTAATCTCATGATTGCATCTCAATCTTGGGCACAACTTTCCCTATACATTTGAGGTAATTGGTTAACTGTCCCCAGCTGTGTTTATTTTTTATTAACATAAATCTGGCCACAGCTATTCCTCAGAGAAAGTATTTCAGCTAAGATACCTTTTTTTCTAAGGACAAGGACAGAGAAATAAACATTAGCTCATCTCACCCACAGATAGAGAAAATAACCACTAACAATTAAATCCTCAACTCCTTACCTTCACCCCAAGGTTATTTACACAAGACTCTAATTTAAGAGATTTACTGCTCACATTCCTGGGATGATGTTTTAGCCACTTGCTAGTTACTGAGTTAAGGTAGTTACTTCCCACTGACCCAAGGAGATTGCCTACAAGGTCAGGCCTGAGATAAGTGTCAAGCTTCTTTCTTGTGCAAATTAAGTTTTAATTCCTCCTCAGCCAGGTGCTGTTCCTAGATTCCCTAATTGATCTTAGCCTTTAGTTGACCCTACCAGAGAACTCCCCTTCAGTCACTCCCCTTTTGGGTTGTAATTGGAAGCTGACATTTATTGCTTTACGATCCTGATAACTTCAAGCCTTTGCTTTGCCAAAGAATTACTGTGTGGGTGTATATACTGGTTCTCTGAGAGCACTGAAAGAAGAGGATTGATGGAGAAGAACAAAGGTGAGGACGGAGGTGGAAAGAACTAGAGAAGAGAGAACAGCAGAAGGGACTGAGAGCAGGAGGGACTGAGAGGAGCTAAGTAAGAGAACAGAAAAGAAGCTGTGTAGATATAGAAGAGTATTTAGAAGAATAAAGTGAGTGGACAAAAGAACTCACTGTGCTTAGATTCATTTGCATATCCCTCAGATTAGAATCCTCAGCTGGTTGTTAGATTCTTCCACGGACCCTGGAAAAAAACAATAAAGGCTGGACCTACTATTGTTTTCAGTAATTCTAAGTCACACATTCTTTTATTTTTTATTCTTCTCTCATACATTACATCCTGACTGCAGTTTCCCCTCCCTCCATTTCCTCACCAACCCCAGATCCACTCTTCTTCCATTTCTTTTCAGAAAAGAGCAGCCCTCCCAAAAATATCAACCAAACATGGCATAACAAGTTTCAATAAGACTAGGCACAAACCCTTATATCAGGGCTTGACAAGGCAACCCAGTAGGAGGAAAAGGGTCCCAAAAGCAGGGAAAAGAGTCAGAGACAACACCTTCTCAGCCCATTTGCCATTTATAAATAGGAGGACTATTGATATTTTTGAGTTAGTTTGTATCAGGCCACTTCACTGAAGGCAAGTCACCAATTTTCATTCAGTAGCTATGTTTTTTTCAATTTAAGTGTGTGGCTCCTTTCATGGTACTGACTTTTGTAGGGATTTCTTTTTAAAGTGTGTGTGTGAAAGAGCGAATATACACAAGTACATGACATGGGTAATGTCATGGAAGTGGAGGCCAATAGATAAAAGACTTAAAATTTACACAATTAACCTTACAACACAATAGAAAAAAAACTGAATAAAAATATTTTAAATAATCTGGGCAATGTTGGAGCATGCCTTTAATCGCAGCACTCAGGAGTTGGAGGAGGTGGATCTCTGAGTTCAAGGTCAGACTGGTCTACAGAGCAAATTGCAAGACAGTCAGAGATATACAGAGAAATGCCGTCTTGAAAATAAAAACAAAATAATTAAATTAGAACAACATTGACACTAACCAATGAAGCAAGGGAAACTACTGAGAAGAATAAAATGGAATTAAGTTAAAAAAATACAAAATTACCCATTGGTTCTCAGCTGGATCTCAAATGCTAACAACCTTTATAAATGTAAATTAAAACTCCAGACGCTACAAATACAAATGGCAACATTGTATCTCTATCTCTGCCGGGCTTTAACAGACACTTGGAGCTGGCGAACAGGTGTCGAGGGTGTGGAGGGCTCCTATTCCAGGGAGTCTCTTCTCTCTTCTCACGCTGAACACCTCATTGTGTTTTATGTGGAAGTTTGAGCACATGCAAGTGATACGCCTTGCTTTTCTCTCACCACCTTTCACTCTGCATCTAATTACAGCAAGCCACACTAGAACCCCGTGTCTGTGTGTATGTGTGTATACACATAGAAAGGATAGATTTTTGTGATTGATGTGTAGTAGGTAACATGAATGGTAACATAAGTATAGTCTCCAGATAATAATAATACATTGTCAATTTTATAAATACTCTTTATGTTCAATAATTTTGGCACAATATCTGGAATGTATACAAAAGTAAAATAGGGTGACATATGAAATAATATTTTAGCTTTTTAAAAGAATCTGTAGACCTACATGTATATTAATTCTGTGGTTGATATATTGTGTATCCTAATAAACTTATCTGAGGGTCAGAGAACAGATTAGCCACTAGATTAGACATAGAGGCCAGAAAATGATGGCACACACCTTTAATCCTATCACTTGGGAGGCAGACATTTGTCTGGATCTCCATGAGTTCAAGGCCACACTAGGAATAGAGCCAGGTGTGGTAGCACACGCCTTTAATCCCAGCATTTGAGATGTCATGTCTTTGCCTGGGAAAGATTTTAATCCCAGGAAGTGATGGCAGGAAGCAGAAAGGTATATAAGGCATGAGGACCAGGAACTAGAGGCTTTTATCCATGTGCTGGGATTAAAGGTATGCACCACCACCACCACCACCACCCGGCTTCAGTCTTTATTGTTATTGTGTACTTAGTTATATAAAGAAATCATTCTTACTAATTAATAAGTAAGCTTTTATTATCAAAGATGTATAAATAAATGAGTTATAAATGTTCTGTTTAGTATTTCATATATTGATTTAGATGATAATATAAAGACTTTTACCAAGTTTAATGATTAATAAAATAAAGATACAATTTGACTTCATTCTTATATTTCTACTTTTAAGAGATTCTATTTCTAGTGAGTGCTTGTTATTTGAAATATTAATGTTGTGAATAGTTATCGATGTCCCAAACTGGACACAAATAATTTAACCATCTTATTTGCTGTTGTTTGTACCTTTTATTTTGAGAGCATTATTACAGCAGAAAACAGGTTATTTCACACATCATTTCAAATCATCAAAAATAATAATACAGATTTTAGAGTTTCATTATTTCATTTCATAGTGAACACACAAAGTATAATGTTTTAGCTTTAAAACCTTTCTTTCACTCATTTGATTAACAGAATTAACTGCATAGAGGTCGTTCACTGCTCCAGTTCTTCTCCTAAAAGCTCAAACATAAACCTCAGAGGCTATGCCATTACAGAAACTACTAGGAAAATTAAATGTGACATACAAAATATTACATCATTTCCCTTTTACCCTTTCAAAGAGAACATGCTGGATGGAGTTTATTTTAGATTTTAGGTGAACTATAATTAAATCATTTCACCTTCACCTAAGGAAGTAAGAAATTAAACTTTATGCATTAAGCTATAATTGGAAGATTACAGAATAAGCTCTCTCTCTCTCTCTCTCTCTCTCTCTCTCTCTCTCTCTCCCTCTCTCTCATGTGTTTGTGTATGTTGCTTTTGCAATAAATAATCACATCATCACATCACTTCAGATGGTATTAATAATAACACAATAATAATTATTGAATTTTAATTTTCCAGACTAATTTCCTAGTAGTTTTCATCATGTGATGGATGGTCAATTCCTTAAAAAAAAATGTAGAAGAATGACATTAACCAGACATATTTTGACTTGAGAAGTGTCTTAGTTACTATTCTATTGCTGTGAAGAGACACCATGACCAAGGCAACTTATGAAATGAAGCATTTAATTGAGGGCTTGCTAACAGCTTCAGTGGTTTAATTCATGACCATCATGGCTGGGAGCATGGCAGCAAGCAGGTCAGCCTGGCAAGGCCTCTTTCATCTGTGAGTAGCAGACAGAGAGACACTGTGCCTGGTCTGACCTTCTGATACCTCAAAGCCTGCCACAGTTATATACATACTCCAACAAGACCACATCTCACGCTCCCTAAATAGTTCACCATCTGGGAACCAATATTCAAATATATGAGTCTCTGAGGGCATTCTTATTTAAACCACCACAAGAAGCAAGGGGAAACTGGTAGCTATCATTTAATAGTCGAACCAAGATTTATATATTTAACATGCTTCTACATTTTTTATTTATCAAACTAGTTTTTCTACAAGTATGCCTCAGGTACTGTATGAGACAGGAAACCCAATGATGAAAAGCAAGCCTCTGATTTCAATTTTGTTACAGTGGTAGAGAGTTGCCTAAAATGAAAATTCAATAAGGGAAATATGAGCAATTACTCATTTAGACTCACATAAAAGACAAAAATATCTTTTTCAACACTGAGTCCCAAAGAAAGCTTTCTGATTTCTGCTAATAGTTCCATTTTGTCTTGAGGAATAATGGTATCTAGTGGCTGCACTTAAGCAAGACAATTAAATCACAATTGTACATTTAAAAAACTCCTTCAAGCTGTCGTGTAGACAACAGAACAAAAGCAGGGCAGTTTAAGAGACAGAGACAATGTCTGCTGTATTTATGACATCATAATCCAGTGGCTCAGTCTTACAGCGATGTGGGGTTCAAAGACACAGGCGGGCATGGGTGCGAGGAGGCAGCCTGTGCTGGGCAGATCTAGCGAGGTGAGTCGAGGGTGCACTTTGATTCACAAGTTGGCGTCACTCTCTGTGAGTGGACATTCATCATAATTCCCTCCTGCTTTAATACCACACTGAGACAACCAAGTCCTCCTCAGCATGCCGAAGCTGTAAGGAAGTTCAGTTAATACTGCTCAGGTTTGGATGAGAACTTCTAACGGTCTCAACAGCTTCCAGACCTTGGCTCAGTTTATAGATGATCATTTTACTGTAACCACCTTTAATATAGATGCCTCAAAAAACACATCAGCTTTTTCTTTAGATCGTTTATTAGCGTTTGAGTCAATATCAAACATCTTTGAGTTGGCTAAAAATTCTTTTTAAAACATTTCCCATAATTTTTAATTGGGGCATAAAAATAAGGTTTTGTAAAATTTTGTGTGATGATTCAGAATGTATATGTTATGCAATGTTCAGATTAGATCAAGTTATCATCTCAGAAACTTATGTGTTTTGCTTTAAATACTAAAATAATTTTCTTCTACTTAAAAAAATATAAGGAGCAAAAATTTTATCTATAACTATCCTAGCCTACAACAGAACATCAGAGCTCACTTCTCTTATCAAACTATTATAAATTAGCAATCATCAATGAATCCTTACCACACTCCATGCCTTCCTTAAGTGTTCACCCTCTGGTAAGAAGCAATATACTCTCATCCTCTACAAAGTCAACTTTTAAAAAATGTATTCTTTCAGAATTTTACAAATATGATCTACTTTTATCATCCTTCCCACATTGCCCTCTCTTGTCCCCTTCCCCTTCCTATAGAACATCCTCTTCTTTCCAACAACACCCCTCCTATTGATTTCAAACTCTGTGTGTGTGTGTGTGTGTGTGTGTGTGTGTGTGTGTGTGTGTGTGTGTGTGTGTGTGTGTAAGTACATTTAACTAGGCTTGCCTGTAAGAAGCTTTCATAGGTGGTTAGAGCCTGCCATAGGGGTTGGCTACACCACTGGGGAATTTGACTTCCCCTATCCAGGCAAACATTAATTGCCTAGAGCGCCTCAAGGAGAGGTGGGTTCTCATGAAACTCTCACTGATTGTCAAGAGATGTTGATGGGTCCAGTCATGTGATGGGTTTCCTGTTGTGATATGTGGATATAACAGCTAGTTCACATATAGAAGAGAGCTTTTCACCCATGACTCTTAAAATCTTTCTGCCTCTTCTTCTGCAATGTTCCCTGAGCCTAGGAAAGAGTGATACAAGATGTTCTTTTAAGGGCCGAACATTCAGCAATCACTTATGTCAGTACCTTGACCACTTATAAATCTTTATATTAACTGTTGTCCATTGTCCACTGCACACAAAAGCATCCTTAGCCAAGGATATGGGCAGCACTCAAGTATTCATACAAATAAACACTTAGGAGGCATCTTAACACCAAGTCCTTCAGAGCAAAACAACAGTAGTATGTTTTCTGCTGTAGTGGTTTGGATGAGAACGGTACCATAGGCTCACATATTTGAACATTTTGTCACCAGGCAGTAGTACTACTTGAAAGGATGAGGAGGCACTAGGGAAGTTGTCACTGGGAGTGTGAGGTTTCAAAAAACCTGGAGTCTCTTTCTTTCCTGCTGCATGTGGATCCAGATGTAGAATTTCTAGCTACTTCGGCACTACCATATCTTCCTGCATGCCACCGTGCTTCTCACCACGATGTTAAAGGACTAAACTTCTGAAACTGTAAGTAAGCCCACAATTTGACGCTTTCTTCTATAAATGTTGCCATGGTCATGGTGTTTCTTCACAGCAATAGAAGAGTGATGTAGACACCTGCCTAAGCCTATGACCTTTTGATCAAGTAATAAATTGCCCCCAAGTGCCTGTCTTGAGGAGATTTCTATCAGGGCCCAGAACAGAGGCTACAAGCAGCTAAGGATACTAATTTGAGGAATATTAGATGAATCTAAGCACAGAGTTCTTTAATCCATTCACTTTATTCCGCTAAGCCAATTCCTTATATATAGCTTTCTCTAGTCCATTTACTTTATTCTTCTAAGCCAATCCTATTTATGCAGTTTTACTCACCACTCACAAGGTATGAAGATACCTGGGTCTGGATCACCCTTGGTGAGATCTGCAAAATAGCTGAAACCCTGGTCCTATGAGTATCCTGTTCAGGAGCCAGTAATTGGGGACAATGGGAGTCCAGTCCCTTGATAGTCCCCTACCAGGGTCCAGAAAGAATCTACAATCAGCTGATAATTTAATCTTTGATGAAAAGAAATGAATCTATTTACACAAAACTCCTTAGTCCATATACTTTATTATTCTGTGTCAGTTATCTCTCTACAAAGCTTCGATTCTGCTCTCATTTTTAGCTCCCTTCTTGCCTGATTTCTCTGTACATTTATCTGCTCTCCCCTCTCGGTTCTATCTTAATTTGTAGCAATAACGGCCACGCTACCACCACCCGTTCACCATGTCCAAGCGAGGGGCTGTGGATCGAAAAGCAGAGACAAAGACAGCGGGTCACTCTCCTCAGCAGAATGCCAAATGCAGTTTATTGAAAGAGGGAGGAAACCTTAAATACAGGCTTACAGCACAATGGGAGAACCCCAGAGGGCAGAAGTTTGCTATTGATGTTTACAATCTTGCAACTAAGCTGTTAACTCCCAATATGCAGGACACATGGAACTTCCCTTAAGCGTTCAGGAGGGTGGAAACTGGCAGGGAATTAGCATAGGGAGGGCATCTGGTCAAGGTCAGCAAGCAGGCGATGACTTTACTCAATATGGGAGGAGACCAGGGCCCTACATTAATTCCTTCATCTTAGTTCTGCCCCATCTAAGTTCTCATCCATCTAGTTCCTTCCCATATAAGCTCCTCTCCCATCTCCTTCTCTCTCATCTTTTTCATCCCCATCTGGCTCTTCTTCACCTTCCATTTTGTTCCTCTGGTACTCTCTTTTAGCTCTTCAATCTAGTTCTTCCCATCTAGTTCGTCACTCTCCAGTTCTTACCCATCTAGTTCTTCTGTTCTCTTGTCTCTTCTCTGTCTGTCTTCAAGTTCTCTCTTCAAAAGTCCTCCTCTCTCTTCTTCTACCTCTCAGCTCTCTGTATTCTCTCAGTTCCCCCTAAGTCTGTCAGGAATCCACTTATAAACCCAAACAATAGCAATCCTCTTGCAGAGCAAGGTCAACAAGGCTTGTATTCTTAAGGGGCCATAAAGTCAAGTAAGAATTCTCCTCAGGCACTGACCATCAGGCTTTCTTTTACAACCCCAAATGGGAGTGGTAAAAGAAGAGGTCAAGTGAGTGTTAATGACTGGTTAGTATATCAAAAAAGGGACCTATGTGCTCAATCTATATTCCTAAAAGTGGTTAGGTAAGAAGTTAGGGGTCTATTAGTAAGTATAAGAAAGGAAGATCTCACCCTAAATTGCACAAGAAATAAAGCTATAGTCTGACCTAGGAGACAGGTGTTGTTTTGTTTGGCCTTGGATGCTTGATAGGCATTTAGATAAATGTGCTGTTAGGAGTTCTTGGAAGCACACAAGAAAATCATTTTAGGAAGCAGCTAGTATATATATATATATATATATATATATATATATATATATAAGCTAAAATATCACCAACACTTCTTAAGCCATGGCTTGAGCTTTGGAGAAGTCCTTGACTTTAATGAGTAGTAGCTTCTGTGATAGTAGCTGAATTCCATTACATTTTCCTGTGGCTTGCAGCAATCAAGTTTTCAGTACCAAGAATACAACATGAGTTTGTCCTGTGAAACAAGCCAGAAACCCAGTCACAACAGCTGGTTAGTCCCATGACAGTTGTAGTACTGTTGCAGTAGTGGGCAGGTCTTGCCTACACGTTTAAATTGCAGCAAAGAGTGTTGCCAGCAAAGAGTAGGCAAGCATCCATTTCAGATCCAGCTGGATTTCTCTATGCCCTGCAATCAGAATGTGTGAGGCCTGCAGCACTGGGAACTTGCCATCTAGTTATGGTGGACAATCAATATAATGGCAATAGCTTTTACTGTTTTGGAGGCCCCTGGGGCCTCTTTGACCAATAACTCATAAGAAGGCTATCTCACACCTTACACTGGGGTTTTCATGTAAAAACCCATGGCTTTTGAAAGTAGCAGCATCTACCCGTGCATGGTATCTCTCTTCAAACTTTGTTTAAACATATAAGTTTACACAGTTGTACAATTGCATAAGTTTTGTCATAGAATATTAACATGGGTTAATGTTTCCCCTACCTCCTATTCTGTCCCATCTCCTATCCTATTTAAACCTCTGCAAACCCCAATATTCTTTCCTTCTACCTTCACATCATATGTGTTCTACTTTTCCCCCTCTCTTACAGCCCCTGTATGCCCCCTTTCTAGCTTCCTGGCTTCTACAAGCACTTCAAGTTAAACACAGAAATCTAGAAATTTGGAGCTGAAATCCACATATGAGAGAAAGCATATGGTATCTGTCTTTCTGGGCTGGATGACCTCTCTCATTGTAAGTTCCAGTTTCATCCATTTTTTCTCAAAATTTTATACTTTTATACCTGAATAAAATTCCACTGTGTGTGTGTATGTGTGTCTCATTTTCATTAGAAGATAGAAATCTAGGCTGTTTCCCCCTCCTAACTATTGTGAATAGATCAGTAATAAACATGGGTCATAAAGAAAATAAATGACAAAATGGTGGTGAGGATGTTGGCAGTAGTTTAAACTGGAATATCTCCTGTGGATATCAGTGTAGAGGCTTCTCAAAACTAAAAACAGAAATACCATATGACCCAGATGAAGCATATAATATACTTACAGAGCTCAATATGGTACTACTGAGGAATTTTTTTTTTTTAAGATTTCCATAAGAATGTCTGCTGTAGCCGGGCGGTGGTGGCACACGCCTTTAATCCCAGCACTCGGGAGGCAGAGCCAGGTGGATCTCTGTGAGTTCGAGGCCAGCCTGGACTACCAAGTGAGTCCCAGGAAAAGCGCAAAGCTACACAGAGAAACCCTGTCTCGAAAAACCAAAAAAAAAAAAAAAAAAAAGAATGTCTGCTGTCACAAGACAAGTGCTTGTGAGGATGTGGAGAATTTGCAACACTTGTACGTTGTTAGTGGCAAGATTATGCAACCATCATGGAAAATGGCAATAAAATTGAGGATGTATGTCAAAAAGAATTAAAACTTGGATGTCAGGGAGATGCTTTCATTCCCGTGTGTACCCCAGCACTGTTCTCAACTTGAAGACAAGGAAGCAACATAAAGGTTGGTAGACAGATAAATGCATAAAGAAAATGGGACGTATGCATGCACCTGTACAGAAGTGTTTTAAATGTCTGAAACCAAGTCTCACGAAAAGGGGGATTCTGCCATGTGTAACGAGAATTGATTACATTTGAGGATATCCTTCTAAGTGAAATAAGCCAGTGGCAAAAGGAGAAATACTGCATGACTCTGAGTCAATGAGGGACTGCAGAGTAACAACCACATAAGCAAGAAGTAGAGCAGTGATTCCCCGAAGAGAGGGGGGTAATGGGTAACTGCTGGTGAGAGGACATGAAAGTTTACCTACACAAAGCAAACACGTTCTGGAGATGTCTGTAAAACAAGGTGCTTGTAAGTAACAATACTGTATTTTGCACATAAGTGTTTATTAAAGGGGGAAATATCATGATGAAAAACAAATATAATTGTGAAAAAGCCAATATTCTCTTAATTTTCATGTTTAGATACCTTAGAAGAAATAAAAACCTTAGTTATCTTTTAAAAAAAATACTCCCTACAAAGAAATATCTATTAGGTAGTCAATATTTGTTAGTAACTACATGTTCCTTGGTAGAATTGGTCACTTAAAGTTGTACCTGTGTTTATACATGAAAAAATAATTTTTACTTTAATCATCAAACTTTAAGCTTTTTGGTAGAAAAGTAATATATCTGTCTGTAATTATACTTGTCTAGACAGATGACTCAGACCCAGCATTCCTCTGAAGCAGATGATCTCAGAGAACTCATCTGACAGCTAAATTGTATTTCACATTTTATACTAAAGAAGGGAACTTTGTAATTTCTCATTAACCTTTTTATCCTTATGCCTAACTTCTCCAGTCAAACTAAAATCAGAACAAATCGCACTGGCTCTCAACCTGATGCTGTAGAAAGGAGTACCACATGTTGCTGCCGACCTTCTCTTCACCTCTGCCCCGAGGCAGGCAACTTCAGATGCATTTTATAGTGAAGTCACTTGGCAGGTATCTGTTAATAGGAAATAGCACGTTATAAATTTAAACAAGTTTTCATAGTTAAATGGAGGTCTTCTTAATTAGATCCCAAAGAATTCTCCAGTAGGACAAGTGCACACCTCAGAAAATCAGACGGTAGAAGGCCTTTGTGCATTTTTCCCGCTCCATGGATGACATTAAAAGGTGAAATGGAAAGAGCTGAGAAAGGTGTGTGTATGGATATATCTGATAAATACATATATATATTTAATAGAGACTTAATCAGGTTATATTAACTACTGCAAGTCTAGTTTAAGGGTACATAGACATATCTTAGCAACTTGTCACAAGAAACCTAGAACAGTTGCATAGGACAATCTACCTGAGATTTAAGAACAGTAAATTTAGGACCAGGATAGCCTAATAGTGTCAGGAACCCAGAAACCTATCCCTGTATGCCATAGCTATCCTTCAGCAGTATCATCTGGTCAGTCAACGTTTGAACTCTGTCGTTATACATGTCAAGGTTTTCAATGTGTAATAGTCTCTGTTTTGTTTTCTTATTTATAATGTTATTTCTCAATTTACCCTTACAGGAAAGAGGATCTCTTTGTTCACTGAGTTCACATTATTCCACTTTAACCAGGCCTTGAATGACAATCACATAAAGTCTGACATTTACCTAGTTCATGGGGAAGAAATGCTCACAGCTGGGTTCAACAGCTGAAGGTAGAAGTATGTGTTTAATAATTTTGGGGGGGGGGTGGATCAGGTTTAGGTCAAAGAGAAGAGTGTGGCATGGAGCAAACTGTGGCAGGCACTATGTGTGGTACCACCCAGGGAATGAGCACTTAGTTAAGATCACACTGGGAGAAGGATGAAGAACAATAGCCAACAAAGCAGCATGACCCAGGAAAAAACTGTGGGTTAGAATAGGCCAGAGTTTACAGTTAAAAGAAAGTCAGGGTCACTGAGAAAAGGGGCTGGACGGAAGACTGAATACAACTGCCGTGGGCTAAGAGCTAACATACTCAGATGGCAGAAAACCCCAGTATACAAGATTTTAACTTAGAGACTTAGTCATGCACTGACAGACAGCAGCATGACACGATCCTGCTGGCAACCACCAAGAAGTTATGGTCATTATTTCCACATACAGAAGGTTCCAAAATTTTCTGTATATCATCCATTCCTGACTTCTAGCCATACTTCAGTTGGAGGATTGGCCGAGCCAAAGCAAAGATTGTATTTCCTGTTTATATATTTATTAAATAATGAGATCATAGATAATTCTTGAGTGTTTGATTTTTTTTCAAGTAAGAATTTTACTTCAAAACCCACTGGGGTTTTAAGTGGTAGCAATTCTAAATAAGCTTATGATTTCTGAGTGGGTATCTACCTATAGCACCTTAATACGTAAGATTTATATTACTTTGATCATAAATGATCTAATGATAGAAGCTGACTCCCTTATATGAGTGAGCAACAGCCTTGCTGGAATGTAAGCCTCCGTGACAGCCATTACAAACACAACACCAGCAACGGAAGATGAGAGAGGAAGAAGAGCCCACAGAGCTCATTTGAATACGAACAGACTTCACAGAAATATCTGCAAATAATTTTAACAAGCTTCCTGATATCAATGAGATGATGCATTTTAATTTTCACACTTTAAACTTTTTAACCAAGGGAAAATATGATGCTCCTAATAGTAGACTTTACTAAAGTTTTTTGGTTTTTCAAGACAGGGTTTCTCTGTGTAGCTTTGCACCTCTCCTGGAACTCACTTGGTAGCCCAGGCTGGCCTCGAACTCACAGAGATCCGCATGGCTCTGCCTCCCAAGTGCTGGGATTAAAGGCATGCGCCACCACCATCCGGCGACTTTACTAAAGTTTGAGGAAAAACATAGCTGATTTTTTTGTTTGCTTGTTTCATTGAGCTAATTATCAAGTAGGAAATATAAACGTGAATACTGTAAACTATTCAAACTAACTTTGAACCAGGGTTCTGCAGACTTCCAGCTACAAGGTCAAATTACAGTTTGTTTTACATGAATGATTGCTGCAGGAAGATCAGGAAAAATGTGCCATTTAATTTTATACCATGCTAAACTCAACATTAGAAGAGATATTCAATTTTAAGTGAAAGGAGTGTAAGACCAAAATATTTTCCTTTAAAGTAAAACAAAATTTAAAAACTTAGAAGATAATGTCCACATCCTTGAAAAGTACACTAAGTCTTCTTTCCAAATATTGTCATTCATTTATTGTTGTCACTAACATGAATAGCTAATAAAAAGAATACTCAATTTTTAATTAAATTTCTAAGTATTGCATCTGTTATGTTGGGAATGGTTAAAGTTTTACAGACCAGGAAACCTGTCTTTCCACAAGCTCTGCAATCCTATTGAAAAATCTAGTGCTGCATCTTTCTTTTCGCATCTGAGATTTCCATAATGCTATTGAACTTAATTGCTTTTTACAGTCACATTTTATTTACTTTGTGTTTAGAAGGAATAAGAGCATCCCATAATGCACATTTGTAGGCCAAGATCAGCTTGCAGGAGTCTGTTGTCTCCTTCTTCCATGTGGGTCCCAGGGATCAAACGCAGGTCCTCACAGCTGGTGGCAGATGCTTTCACCCTCACAGCCATCGTTCCAGTCCCTGACCTTCATCTCCAGCTTGCTTTCTTCACCCACTCATATTTGCTTAAAAAAAAAAAAAAAAAAACCTCAAAAAGCCAGAATTGCTTTACCTCCAAAAGACTAAACTCAAATATCCTACTTTCTCATTCAGTTTTATTTCTATATAATTACTCCTTCTACTACATCATCAATAACCCACCAGCTCTCTTTTCTTACCTCCCAGCTTGAGTTCTGGGAGTCACTTTTTTAGACCACACTGTTCAACACCTAAAATCCCATCACCACTGCTTCCTGATGTCCTGGTCCAGATATTCAAAAGTGGATTCAATACAAACATCTGCTCTTGCCAGAAAATTACACAACTGTAAAGATGAATGCTTCCTAGCTTCAGTAAAAACTCTTTCTGTTTGTCTAATGATGATTTTGTCTTATGTTTCCTGTCCAGACTTTTTCCTGGGAACAAACCTATGGTTCTGAGGATTGTCCTCCATAGTTTCAACATTTGCCTCCACTTCCTGAACTCCACAACAATAGTCAAAGTCCATAATACACCTGCCTCCTATTCAATAACTGAATCTAATCTTCTCCAGTCAAAAATTAATCCCTGCTGGTTTATCATCAATTTCTCTCTGTCATGACTGCTCATAGCATTGAAATCTGGCTGATGCTGCCCAGTAAAGAAGGGAAGATTTCCTATGTCTTGCTTCAGCTTTGTATTTACTATGTTGTATTGCTGTATTGAATATTATTTAATATTCAGAAACAAAGCATCCAAGAAAACAGATCTATATTCAACAGCTATACTTTTTTGTATTTCTCATCTGGCTTCCAAATATGAGCATGCCCATGCAACATAATGTTTAATAAACTCTCAAGATGAAATCATCACATCCTGAATTACTTTCCTGATCTTTTATTGTCTTTTGTTACCCTCGACCACTTGATTCCTCTTTAGTGTTTATTCCAGGACAACTCACTCTTTTTATTTTCAGCTTTTTGCCACTCAGTATTTATAAAGCTTTCCCACTATGTTGATTTTTGTTACTTTCCAGGCCTTTGCTTTGTGCCTAGTGTTATTTCATCTAGATCTATACTTTCAGTGAACTGTGTACTAATGATTCCCATAGAGAAATTCAGGGACATGGTCTCTGCACAGAGTGCTTCAGCACTGCAGACACAGGATTTCACCTGGCCATCCTCTGACACACCATATATGGTATGTCCAAGTTGGTTTTGTTTGTTTTTTTAGTTAGTTCTGTATTTCATTTCTTATATTCTTGCTGTTAACTTAATTCCCTACTTTTGAGACTTAGTTATAATTTTTCACCTTTTACTTTATATTTGTTTCATTCAGTTTACATTTTGTTTCTTAAATTTTATTGAAATCATTCCCGTATTGTTTACAGCACAACTACTTGCCTAAGTTACTAAGAGGTACCATGCTCTTAACTGTTCATCCCATTGATCTTTATCTTGAGTGGTAGAGCCACCTTGTTCTTCAAAGATAGATTAACTTTTTTTTTTTTTTTTAATTATTATCTTCCCTGCCTCAAAGTTTCCAATAATAGCTGTCCAGGAAAGATGTTTATTGATTACCATCTTTAAACTGGGCATTCATTGGTTATCCAATCAATCACCGACTGAAGACCAATTCTTTTGTAAGATTAATTTATTTTATTATTGTGAATATGGATGTGTTTTGCATTTTCTATCTATCTATCTATCTATCTATCTATCTATCTATCTATCTATCTATCTATCTATTGCATGTATTTCTACTCATCATGTGCCCATGGAGGCTAGAGTACAATGGACTCCCTGTAACTGGAATTACAGACAGTTGTGAGCTGCAAGGTGGATGAAGGGCTCTACAGCCTGGTCTTCTACCAAAGCATCAAATGCTCTTAACTGCTGAGCAGTCCCTCAAGACCCCATCCCCAAAAGAAACATTTAAATATTCTGCCCACTCACTTCCTGTGTAACTGTGAGAAAGGACCCTTGTTGTCCAGTGATGGCCAGAGCTCTCCTTCCTCAGCCTCTGCTGTCCTGTTGTCTGTCCGTTCATAATGTTAACCACTTTTAAAACAAATCTTACCCAAATAGCAATCCACCTCATTGTTCCTTTGAACTCCAGCTCTGAAGCCTTTCAGTGGTCAAAGGTTTGTTTAGAGGTGGAAACCCAACTCCATCACTCCTCTTCCTAATAGGCTTTTCTGTTCTCTGTTACCTTCTGGATAATCGCAAGACTCCATAGAACTACTCAGGGCCCTCCATTACACAGCATTCCTTCTCATTTAAGAATTAGGCCTTCTCCCTGCTCTCCACAACTTTGCTGATCCACTGAACCTCAGCTAAGATTAACTTTGTTCTTTCCTCATTTTTTTTTCCTCTTACTTCTAGGAAACATAGTTCATATAGAATGTCTGCTCCATCACTCCATTATCCTTCCTAACTCTCAACTCATAGTATACATCTCATGGACGAAAGTTCAGATGAGAATATATTACATTACATTACATTACATTACATTATATTATATTATATTATATTATATTATATTATATTATATTATATTATATTATATGTCAAGCACTACATATAATATAAGTTAAATACATAAGGAGGGGATGGAGAGATGGCTCAGCCACTGAGAGCACTTGCAGCTCTTGCACTAGGCACACAAAGGGTATACATATATACATCTGGTAAACACTCAAACATGTACAGTAAAATAAAATAAATATTTAAAGGTATATGTATATGTAAAAGTATATATAAGTATATATCATATATACTTAAATGTATATGTGTAACTATATATCACATAACTGATCATATGATGTTTTGTCCATGTTGCTACTTACTTCTTTATTTGAATCACCTGAGCAAATTGACGAGAGGCCATATGTTTGTTACATTCATCTCCATATGCTAAATTATTGCTTGTTGAAAGCATAAATGAAATAATTTGTTAATTATCCCCAGGGACACACTCTGGTTATTTGACAAGGTATAATCTAGCAGACCCCTCTATCTGGACAGTTGCTGCATTGATAGGTGACTGATTTTGTTTAGTCATCCAATTCTAGTCTAACTATTGTCCAAAGTAATGGGACCATGTGGTGTAAGCATGGCAATCATGCCTACAGTGTTTCTAGTCAAAGCTTATTAACCTAGACACTACTATTCACATTGAAAGGGCCATTTAAAGAAGACACTACCATGAGATAGTGGCTCCTGTCTTTAATCCCAGCACTCAGGAGGTAGTGGCAGGAAGATCTTTGTAAGTTTGAGGCATCCCCCACCCCTGCCCCACTGTCTACAAGGAGAGTTCCAGAAGAACTCATGCCAAACCAAAACCAAAATCAAAATAAAAAACAAAACCAAAAAACAAAACAAATAACGCAACTTCCAGAGACCTCTCTTAGTCTGCTTAAAGCATCACCACTCAGGACTCCCCTGAGGAATTCAGTCTTCTAGCAAATGCTTCTTGACCAGTATTCTTAACATCTCCATAGAGGTAGCTTGCATATTTTAGGGCTTGTCTTTTTCTAAGCTTGGGAGAAAAGATTTCAGCGAATACTCTCAGTGCCTTATATATTCTTTGGATAATGACAGATGCTTATCAAATGTATA